CGAGGTCTCGAAGCATTGACCATTTAGTTCCGTCTAATCTCTGAATGTGCTGTATATTACCTTGGTGTGGGTGAAATGTCCATGAACCGTGAGCTCATCGTTCTATTAGAGTGCAGGCTACGTCCGTATAGAACCGTGAGCTCATCGTTCTACTACTCTGTCCAGAAAAAGTTGCACGACAGTGCTTTCCTAATTTCTATTCGCCAAAACAGTGTAAACGTGTTTGTAATTGGTAGAAATGAATTGTGCGTCCGCTGTGCTTCTCAATGGTGTGCTGGGCTCGCCATAGTCCGCAAAATTGACTCTGAACCAGTCAAATTTGTGGCGATTGAGGGGCAACGCCCGTGTGAGGGATGCACATTTAAGATTTCGCCCACCCCCACCTAATCTACCTAATGTCCGCCTCCAAGACCAAGGAACTAAGCGAAGAAGACCGCAGGAACAACATCTAACTCGAGACTGTGATGAGCTCATTGCAGTCGTCGAAGCTGCATGTTGGGAGCTACCACCGTCTACTATCAATGCCGCATTTCTAAGTTTGCAAACGACAATGAACAAGTGCATCGAGGAGAAAGATGGGAACGACTTTAAACCTGTTCACATGGGGAAAGCTCACCTGGCGAAGTAGGGAAGACTTCCCCTCAGCATCCGATGCTCGAGTACGGCAGCTGAGGCCCTGTCTCTATCTTAGGAATTTGAATGTTTAATGAGATCAAGTAATTTGGTGGTGTACAGCAGATCCGTGCAACTTTTTCCAGACAGAGTAGTATTAGTGCAGGCAACGTGCACTGTGGTTGCTCGGTCTTTAACGCTTTAAATACAGCTTGACTTATTTCAACCTCTAACGATCTATCCCTATTTCCTTTGGCACTTCGTCATGTTGTTTGGGGGCGCACAATCAAGCTGAGATTTTGTTTATCGGCTTGGTCTCTCAACCGCTTGTGCTCGTCCGACGGGAGTGGAGTGGTGGGTGTATTCAGCGAGGTAAATCGGATAATGACTACTTCTACAGTTAGAACTACGGATGAGTGCGACAGAGCCTTGTCTTCTGGTACAGTCTCGTTCTTGGCTGAGGAGATCTTCGATAGTAGTTGGTCCAGGAACCTCTATGCTTATGAAGACCCATTCCTCGTACCCCGAAAACCCGCTCTTCAACTGTCGTCAACAGATGCCATATTTCCAACAAGCAGTTGGAGACTTCTTTCAACTATTAAGTAAAATATTGATGGGGCGTCAAGCTTGTAAAGCAATACATGCAGATGGTTTCACAGCAACAACAAAATAGCGAAATAGATTTAGAGTATTTAATCAGTCACACAAATACCCCTTCCCAATACTATCTCCCAGCCGCATCGTTGTACAACAAAGCTAGTTATTACCCTGAGGTTTTGTTGTGGTAGCTCTTAGCAGATGTAATGACAACTTCAACCGACACTATACAACTTTAACGAGTTGATGTGATTCGTAATTGAGGACATGGCACTGAGGTGCAAACAGCTAAACTTATGATGCCAATATCCTTGTTGGTGCAGCTGCTATTGGCACTAGCTTCATTGCCAAGTATGCATCAATTGTGTAGCCAAGTCGACAGTACCCGTCGGCTTTCGTTGATTGGTCCTTTTGCTGCACGTACCCAGGGATGTATCCGGGAAGCATCGTGGTCTGCCTATTAGCTAGCTGGAAGGAGGAAGTTTAGCTAGCATCACAAACAATTTTCTTTACAGATCAAATCGCGGGTCTTGCGACATTAAAGCATCTTATGTGGATACAGTGTACCCAGAGGTCTGAGTATACAATATTAAATTGAATTGGCGCCATTCAGTTGCCGCAATAAAAAAAAATCCAATATGAGTCTTCCAATAATAAAAAAGTTCCGCAATTTTGAAATATTTTAATATAAAAAACTAAATTACGTACTCGTTACCCACCGGGTAGTAAGTTCCCATGGTTATGAACACTTTAGATAACAATACTTGGTGACGCTAAGTAATGCTATCAAATTGGCGGGGTCAGTCGCTTCCGGTTTCAGAAAGTAATTGTGTATGTTGGTTGCAGCAACTTTGCAAGCCATTAATGACACCATTTGCATCTCCCTATAAGTAATCTCAGCAATAACTTCTAATGAAAGCTTTCTGTTCGAAATTAAATTGAAAAAAGTCAAGTGCGTTAAACACCTTTGTTTACAAGAAAGAGCCGGATTGGCTTAGCTGTATTAGGTGTATTAGGGTGTATAAGCTGTAAAGCTAAACGTTTTAACTCATTTCATATGCACTAACACGCATAGGTCGAGGCTCAGCATAAACTAAGCTAGGTATGCTGAAAAATAGACGTACTCAATGGCAGTGTGGCCTGAACGAGCATTGGTAGCCATCACGTTTGTGCGGCGACACGAATATGGTGTAGAGGGCACCGGCAATGATACCATCATATTTGACTGGCAACGCCACCCCGAGAAGACTCTGCCAGATTCGACCCGAAGGCATATATCTTGCCAAAAATTGATCCAATATCGTATTTTATTGGCATTGGCAACTCTCAATAATAGAAATTATTATTGCAAATCCAATTATTTCTTGAAGCGCAACTATTTTTTCGACCTATGAGATACAGCGGGTTGCGAGATACCTTTTTTACATTTAAAAATGGAGCAATTCCCGCAGCCGGCTGGGACGCGGACTAGAGGATAAACAGACATAACCGGTACGGGCAGGACACTCAGACCAAAACTTGC